TATTTGTAAACTGTATTAATGATACTTAGAGCAGTTATTAGAATTAAAGAATAACAGTCCATCTGTATTACTGCGGTTTTTGAACAAGATGTTCAAATGAAAGAGTTTCTGAGATTCTGTTTTAAATTTGGTGACCACCTATATACGTATTTGTGTATTATATTTTAAGGTGTTTTTTATGATTATTTTTTCGTGCAGTTTAAGGGAAATAAGAGTTCCTTCAGTATGTCACAATTAATCATATTTAACATGGTATCATTTCAAAAGTGGTCCAAAAGAATAAAAAGGTGCTATAGTAACTGATTATAGAAGGATGTACTGTATACTGCAATACAGATTGATTACAATAGTATGTTTATTATGGATGATTCAAAGACTTACCTTCTAAGACCCATAAGAAGAAAAAAAAATATTAAAATCATTGCTATATACTGTGCCTATTGAAATAACATATATTTGCTTCATATCTATGCACTTCCAGTAGCCCAGTGGAAGAAGAAAATGTGCAAAGCACTCTTAAGTGAGCTAGTCCAAATGAAATTACATTGTTGCATACAGTTACAGTTTAACTACAATAAATACCCTGTTATCGACACCAATATATTAATTAATACTCTCTTTGTTGGTAAACATGCAATAATGCCAAATGTCCTTGCTAACATGGAGTTTGCAATGAAGATGTCCACCAACAAATGTACCTATCTGTAAGGATTCAAGACATGTTGATAGGATCACTTGGGTTGGAAAAGAGTTTTAAAATCATCAAGTCCAACTGTTAACCTAGCACTACCAAAATCACTACTAAACTATGTCCCTAAGCACCATGTCTACATGTCTTTTAAAAACGTCCAGGGATGGTGACTCCACCACCTACCTGGGCAGTCTGTTCCAATGTTTGACAAGCCTTTCAGTGAAGAAATTTTTCCTAATATCCAATCTAAACCCTTCCTGGCCCAACTTGAAGACATTTTCTCTTGTCGTATTGCTTGTTATTTGGGAGAACAGACTAACACCCACCTTTCTGCAACCTCCTTTCAGGTAGTTGTAGAGGGCAATAAGGTCTCCCCTCAGCCTCCTTTTCTCCAACAACCTCAGTTCTCTCTGCTGCTACTCATGAGACTTGTGCTCTAGATTCTTCAGCAGCTTCATTGCCCTTCTCTGGACATGCTCCAGCATCTCAAAGTCTTTCTCATAGTGAGAGACTCAAAACTGAACACAATATTTGAGGTGCAGCCCCACCAGTGCTGATTACAGGGCACTTCCCTACTCCTGCTGGCCACACTATTTCTGATACAAGCCAGGAAGCAGTTCGCCTTCTTGTTCACCTGGGCACACAACAAGCTCATGTTCAGTCAGCTGTCGACCAACACCCCCAGGTCCTTTCCTGCCAGGCAGCTTTCCAGCCACTCTTCCTCAAACCTGTAGTGTTGCATGGGGTTGTTGTGACTCAGGTGCAGGACCCAGCCCTTGGCCTTGTTGAACCTCATACAATTAGCCTCGGCTCATCAATCTAGGCTGTCCAGATTCCTCTGTAGAGCCTTCCTACCCTCAAGCTGATCAACACTCCTGCCCATAAGATCATATTCACATTGCCAACATAATCAAGATTATGATTAAGAAAGAAACTCTTGTAGAAGGTCAGGGTCAGTTAGGCTATAAATCTTCAGTGTGCTGTATACAGTGGGTTCACTGCTCCTTCATGGAGGTCCTTTGGCTTCACAGGGGCTCAGACCACAAATGAATAGGAAGTAGGAAAAGGATGGGTCCCTGCAGGTGTGGTAGACTACCAAGATTCCAGTTTTACAATTAAATCCATCCAGGAGTGATGACTGCTATAGGACAAGTACACTATCTAAAACTTCCAGATATTACTCTAAATAATGCATTTGTGTTATGCTCCCCTTTCACACAGGGGAAAAATTAATCATGTGAAACATAAAAAACCTGTAATGGCTCATCCACTTGCACAGAAGCAACTAATTTTAGATAGGTTTCTAACTTCATCTCCTTAGAATGGACAGAAATCACAATTATTTTCATCAGTCATTCTTATGTTGACCATAAAGGGTCTGATCTTGTTAGGTGCTTAAATTGTCATGCTCATTGGCAATGAGCAGATGGCCAGGTTGCCTATTGCCTTACATGAATCACTTTGACTCCTTTGAGGCAATAGAATCTGATTAAAAGAAATAATTGCAGAATTAATCATCATTGTTCTTTCACTTTTGCAATGAGTGGTTTTGCAAACTTTACTTAAAATGTACTTCAGAATGGCAGAAAATGCAAGATTAATTTGAAGAGGGCAGCAGATACTGTCCGAATTTTTCACCCACATTAATTTAAATTCTAAAGCCTAACACTCTTCCCTCCACCCAAAGAAGAACAAGAGATTAATTTCTCAAAATTATTGCTATATTTAGCAGCTCATAACATCACCAACATGCACATTTCTGTGATTCAGATTTAATACAAATATTTCAAAATATCAGATCTGAAAAATCCTCTCTACTTTTATTACAGGCCTATTCAATAAAATATATACCTTTGGTATAGTATGTTTCATTGCATATAGCAAACCATTTCCATTATCTTCAAAAATATATTTTAGCACTTGTGAATTACAGGGGACTTTAATTCCTCAGATAACCCACAATATTGGATACAGTATCTTGAACTGGCTCATAAATACGTAGACATGATAAACATGTACATTTTCTGTTGGAAATGGCAAGTGAAAGACTTTTGAGAATTTTCAATTTACGATAACTAAGCTACTTAAACTATCTTTATGCTACTTTATGAGATGCATTGTAAGACATTATTTTCATTGAAAATATGCTTTAAATAAGGCAAGTTTTGTAAGAATTTAAATAATGTTTTTTCTTACATAAAAACTTTTTTTCTTATAAGGTAGTCATGCCTCCCTTGCTGTTCTGAAATCACTACACACAAAGCGATAAAATTACAGAGCTAAGCATCCTTCAAGGATGAAATCACAGTGAAGAAAGCTGTGATACACTTTATGCTGTTAGTCATGTTGTATCATATCACATCATATGATGATACCACAGTAGAACAGAGCTGGTTATTTACACAGTGCTGACTGGCAAATGTAAACAAAGATTAGTCAAGCACCTGGGCAATGCATTGACTCCAGGTTTTTACAATGTTGTTCATCAGTTCCATTGTCAACTTTACATGAGGCACCTGTTTTTAAGGTAAGAAACTGGTCAGATTATGAAGTGCCAGTGGAGTTTTCAAGTAAATATGACTCTGTTCCCTTTTAGTTCATTATTAATTTAAGGGTCAATTATGATCCAATAAAGATGAAATGCTCTTAGATTTGTATGCAGTTTGAGGAATTATATGACATAGAGTGACTGTTGGTTTCTAAGACATATAAGCTCAAAAGAATCTCCAGTACAGCAAGTAATAATTTACTGTTTAAGTAAATTCCATGGTTTAGTGTAGATTAAGAGAAGTCTGATGGCTATTCAGAAACTCTTAGTCCAGTTGAAATTATTGGAATTGTCTTGGAAAGCTCAAGTCTACTTGAACATCAGTGTAGGTATGAAGACTTGAGCATTAAAAGGTATGACAGTTAGAACATCTTTCCAGAACTAAATGCTTCTTATTTTAAGGTCAATTTGAAGGCAAATCCTATTGTCAATTGTGTTTTTCCACTAGAGAACTTCATTGTAAAACAGAGAGATTCATTGTTGTAGGAGACAGACTGTCTAGCTATTCTTTCTTACTTCACAGAGCCCTTCCTCTCACTGAAGAGTTGCCTCCTGTCTGTGGAAAGTCCACGTAGCAGATCCTGTCCTTAGAGGCATCTTCTCTTTTCTATTATTTAAAGATGTCTAATTGTTCTAGATTATTACACTGTGTTCATCATTGTACTAAACATCTAATTATTATTTTGAAAAGCTTATCTGTGGCAGTTTACAAAATAACCTATAGTCTCAGGCTATTCTCAGAAGGTCAAGTTGGGAAAGATGCTAAATACTAATCCTGTAAATATTTCTCATTTCCTAGGGTTTCATGAGGTTAAGATTCCACTAACCAGACAAAACTGTCATCCTCTCCCACCATCCCTCTTAAATGCATTAATCTTCTCACAGGGGTTTAGAACTTCCGTACTGTACACAAGTGAGAAATAATAGTCCTTCCTCACCTGTGTTTCTAGAAGGTGTTTCCTGATTTCATTAATTACTGTCTCTTCAGAAAGAATGGTGGTTTATGTTTCTCTTCCTGCCCCTCCTACACCATTTTTCATGCCCAAACAGCTTGAGCTTATGAATCATGGCTCTTGTCCTTCCTTGCTGTTTATCCTCCTGTTCTTGTAGCTTTGAAGATAATCAGTCAGGTATATTTCTCTCCTAAAAGCTATTTTAAAATTAAGAAGTCAATTGGGAATGCCATTCCTAGGAGAGCTGGTGAGGTTTAATCTTCAAAAAATGAATAATAGTGTCCATGTTAGGAGCAAAGCAATATAGGTAGAGGTACTTATCAAATATCCTATGAACTTTCAATTTCCTTGATTTCTTACTTTGCGTTTCCTAATATATTTCATAATGGCCTGATTTCATGTTTTAAAATAGGTTAGAGTTTGTAGAATCAGGGCCATAACCTGGCCAGAAGAAACAGGCAGAAAGTGGTAGGAATAGTTTTGTGGTTTCTGTTATTCAGTCAGGCAATGTGCATACTTCTGTTTCAATGTCCTTCTAGTTGTGTATCTCCATTTAAGGGGGAAAAAAAGGATCCATGCATAATTTTGTAATTCCCTCAAGGACATCATTGAGTTGTTATATGAGAGAGACACCATTGTATAATAGGAACTGTATGGCAAGGCCCTGTAACTTAGGTTCCCAAACATCATGCAAGGAATTTGATCAAAGTGCTTCTAGTGTAGAAGAGATATTTCACTATAATATTTAACAGTAGGTCTAATAAGACAGATAATTTATTTGAATGCTGTTAAGTGACAATAATAAGATTCTCATTTTCAGACAGAGTCCACCTTCACTTGATTGTTGTTTGTAATCAATGGAGAAGGTTTACTTTTCATCCTGTCTCCCGCATCATTAGAACTATCCTGGAAAAAAGCTTTTGCTGTACAAAAAGTGACAATAATTCTCTTGTATTCTCTTCTGAAGTTCTGGTTCAGGAGTCCATATATGATAGCATTAAGGCAGCTGTTGAAATACGCCATGTAGTAACTAGATACAAATAACCACTCTGGAATCCTAGGGATTGTAGTTTTTGGGTTGACAGCCACAGCAAGGCCTATAAAGTTCAAAGGAGCCCAGCAGACTGCAAACAGTACAAATACCACAAACATGGTTACGAAGTTTCTGAAGTCATGTGGTTTCAACCTTGGGTTGTTATCTGGTTTAACCCTTCGTCTTACCTGAATAACAAGGATCCATATTCGCAAGTAGCAGAAAGTAACTATGGCTATGGGAAACAGGAAATGGAAAAACACAACTGCTATTGTATATGCTGAGCTCACAGATTGTGCAAATGTACATGAGTAAATCCTGGGGTCATACTGTAGCGATCCCACAAACAGGTTGGGTATGATAGCAACAAATGTTAAGACCCAGATAAGAACAACATAGCACAACGAATTCTTGTCGCTGTACAGTTTGTCATATTTGAGACTGTGGCAGATATAGCAGTACCGATTGATAGCGATGCCTGTAATATTGAAGATTGATCCAATGACACTTAGGCCCATCAAGAAGCCACTAATCTGGCAGTGAAGGTATCCCAGATTCCATCCGTTGTGAAATACAGATGTGAGGACCAGTGGATATGGGTAGATTGCTACGACCAAGTCTGCAACTGCCAGGCTTACAACAAACACATTTCCTGTAAAATAAATATTAAAAGGCAAATATTAGTTATGCTTTTGCTCTTTCCTCTCTTCTGCTTTCAATATATTAATGAGCAGTCTTATTGAAACACTTTAAATGTAATTAGTTTCTACTTTCTAGATCAAAATTCATTGTCATATTTCAGAAATAAGACACTCATTTTCAATCTGAAAAGGAAATAGATTAACTTAAAGATGCACCTTTTAAAAGAAAACTGTCTTTGAGTTTAATTACTATGACCTAATATTTTTGTCTTCTCACTTATTTTTTTTTCCAATTTGTATTTCAAGTTCCATGACTTTATTGTGACTTTAAAGTGACTCTTTTTGAATCTGCTTGTTAACACTTAACTAAACCATTGCAATTCATATATTGGAAAGTAGCATTTTTGGAATTTTAAGTAAGAACTAAGAGTGTAACAGAACACAAACTTGGTTGTCTTTCCTAAAATGAAAGACATACTCTTCAGTAAAAGAGGTGGTGCTGGGCAATGTCTCAGTTCTGAGACAGTTCTCTACCTCCAAACTGGAAAATTAAGCAATGATCCATTTTCTTCGTTCATTTTTAATTAAAACAAAGGGACATTATTTTAGATTGTTTTAGTTCTTGTCAGAACCCTTCTCTGGTCTTCAAAGAAAATGAACATGTGAAATACATATGAACTACATCATAACTACATGCTTTGAATTAATCTTTTTATCATAGATTCCATGTTCTTTTTTTTAGATGCTTAAATGGTAAATCATTTGAATGCCTCCTAATCATTCCAGTTTCTAAGGACAAGTTCACAATATACATCGATACAGCTTTTATTAATTTTTAAAAAATAACTACTACATGTATTGTTCTAGTTATTCATGTCCATACCTACAGAAAGCTATAAATGTGTACATGTGCATCCACGTGTGTAGGTATATAAATGCATATATATGTATGTGTGTGTTTGAGATCATATTTTTGAATTCTGAGATTATTCACTGATGATGAAACATAAGCTCCTATTGCAACCTGTAAGAAAATATATTGCTAGTTTTAAGTGATATAGATATCTTAGTGATATAACTTAGTAATCCAAAGTGGGGTTGGTGAACAGTTTTATGCATTTATTTTGAGCAGACAAAAAACCAAACAGTTAAAAATAGGTTAAAAGAAATGGTTAAAGTATCTGTGGACCAATAGGGCATTTTAGCTGCTATAATTCTCAGAACAGTATTTTTTAATATATTATCTCAAACATCTTAAAACGCATATTCTCTCACTAGTCTTATGCTTTAAATGGCCTGGTAGAAATAATAAAACTCCAAACACTGTATTGGGTTTGCAAGGCAAGGGTTTGGTAGTGGGAGGGGCTACAGTGTCCAATAAAGCCAATGCCAGACGGCTCCAAAATGGACCTGCTACTGGCCAAGGCCAAGCAAACCAGCAACAGTGTTAGCACCTCTATGATAACGTATTTAAGAAGGTGGGGAAATGAACTATGCAGAAGAACAGAAGTGGAGAGAGGAGTGACACGTGAGAGAAACAACTCTGCAGACACCAAGGTCAGTGAAGAAGGAGGGAGAGAAGGTGTTCTAGGTGCTGAAGCAGAGATTCTCATGCAGCCCATGGTGAAAACCATGGTGAGGCAGGCTGTCCTCATGCAGCCAAAGGAGCAGGAATCCACCTGCAGCCTGTGGAGGACACCACACTGGAGCAGCTGGATGAACCTGAAGGAGGCTAGTCTAGGTGATCCTGCTCTGGCAAGGAGGGTTGAACTAGATGACCCTTCGAGGTCCCTTTCGACTCCTAATATTCTGTGATTCTGTGTGATTCTGTGATTCTGTGAGGCTGTGATGCCATGGGAAGCCCAGGCTAAAGCAAACTCCTGGCAGGACCTGTGGCCCTGTGGAGATAGGAGCCCACACTGGAGCAGTCTGTTCCTAAAGGACTGCATCCTATGGAAATGATCCACACTGGAGCAATTCACAAAGAACTGCAGCTCATGGGAAGGACTCACATTGGAGAAATTTGTGAAGGACTGTCTCTCGTGGGAGGGACCCCATGCTGGAGCAGGAAAGAATGTAAGCAGTCCTCCTCCTGAGGAGGAAGAAGTGGCAGAAAAGATGTGTGAGGAATTGATTGCAACCCCCATTCCTCTGAACCACTGTGGAAGAAGGAAGTAGAGAAAATCAGGAGTGAACTTAAGCCCAGGAAGAAGGGAGGAGCGGGGGGAAGGTGTTCTAAGGTTTGGTTTTATTTCTCACTACCCTACTCTGATTTGATTGACAATAAACTAAATTAATTTCCCCATATCTGTTTTGCCCATGAGGGTATTTGTTGAATGATCTCTATCTTTATCTTGACCCGCAAGCATTTGATTATATTTTCTCTCTCCTGTCCAGCTGATGAGGGGAAGCGTTAGAACAGCTTTGGTGGGCACCTGGCATCTAGCTAGAGTCAACCCACCTCGAACACCTACAGAGAAAAAAATAGAAATTATGTGGCTCAGGAAGCTACTTACTTTATTTTGTTTAAATTTTGATACATGCATGAATTACGACATTTGATATTTATACTAATGGCAGGTGGGACAAATGCTCTCAGTTAAAAAATTGCTACATTAGTTTTCATGAATTTTATATCTGGTTTTATAAATAACTTTCTCTTGATGTTGTCTGTAGTTGTTTCTTCTTTTGCCCAGGAATTCACTGCCAGACTGAAATGCGCTTATCCTGAAGGCTTTGGCAGAATTCCAGATCATTTCAGTACAAACAGCAGAGTTCCTTTAAGCAGAAGAAGAAAAGGGGAAAAAACACTGCTTTCAGAATTTACCCTTGACATAGTGGCAAGTGATACAAGAATGGATAAAGAGACTAGATGAAACTCAGAGCTCTGTGTTTATCTTATGAATCAAGAAGTGGAAAGTGAATGAAAAGTTGCTGTTGGCAGATTTTGTCCCAATGCAGAATATTGCAGGTTTGATGAAATGGCACCAAATAAACTCCAGATGGGACAAAAATCCAGGACACTTATTTAAATCTAATACTTAGAAGAACCCAATTTATATTCACTTATAAATTGTCTGCTTAGCTGGAGACTGCCCATCCCAAGCTTCTTTCTCTGCCATCCGCTGAGACTTCTGCTGGTGCTCTCCACTAATTCTGCTGTTATCATCATTATTTACCCACTAGAGTCAAAAGGTTCAGCTATAAGAAAAAAGCTAAGTGTGGGGGTTTTCCTATTGTTGAAAGTCAGATGGTAAACTTTTCTCTGAATAGTTTTAGCAACCCTTTGATTTGGAAACAACTGAGTCTAGGAATAGTAGGTGCTCTGTCTCTGAGTCAGCCAAATTTCAGACTTGCACAAACTGGTTGACTGTAGTTGTCCCAGTTATCTTCTCGGTCAGCTGCTGTAGAGCAACAAACTGAAACTCTTGGAAGTACAAACTGTTTCATATGGAAATTGGAGGCTAGCAGGATATCTTGGGAGCCTGTCTATTTTTAAAAAGTCATGAGCTTGGACTTGAAGTCCTGGGCTGCCAGCTCATGATTAGCATGTCAGCTGGATGACCAAAGCATTGGTCTAGAAACAGCCTGGAAATCAGATACCTGCTTGCAGAGAGGACTTTTAACTCGCCTTTCAGGAAGGTTTATCTTCAAACTTGAGTTCAGATACATTTTCCTTCTAAGCACAGAAACTTTACCTTAAAGACAGAACAGAAAATTAAAGTAAAAAATTATTTGGGATTAGTATGTTTGTTGTGTATTTTGAGGTTCATTTTTGGATCCGAAATTACGTTGAACGTTCACATGCTATATAATAAAGGCTTTAAAAATATGATCCCAGATTTAGGCACTCACCATTAGTGGAAAATATTTATATTCTATGAAATTTCCATCTATTTAATCACATATTATGAAATTAAAGTTTTATGTTTGTGGAACATTTGGTACTGTAGAGGTGAGTACCATAAAAAAGGACATAGGAAAAAGCTAATTTTTATCTTCAGAGTTGGGTTTGAATGAAATGCTATAAACAAAGCCCGAAACTCCACATCAAACCCTTTAAAAAGTCACAAAACCAAAATCTTGAATAACTCTTCCTTGAACAAAAGGTGTTAATTCTCTTTAGAGAGTGAGATCATGTTCCATTGAAAAAATGTGATTTATGTAACTAAAGCATGCATTACTGTGCATTAACACCAACTGGCTGAACTGAGAAGGTAGAGGTTGAATTTCTTGACTTTGACATAAGTCAAATAAATTTTAATGTACTTAAGCAGATGTGCTACAGACATATGTGAGAAGAAAGATAATCTACTGGTAACCAGCTTTAGCAAGCTATGCATTTAGATGAAGTCTAAAGCAATGTTTCATTAAATATTTTCACCACTCTTACTGAAAAAACATGTCTTTCTGCACAGCAAACACACAGCAACATCAGACC